TTTGATGCTACAGTATATGAAGTTATACTCAAAGATTTCAAGGAAAAAGACAATATGGTAACTACTTTTATGTCGGGATTATCTTGTGGTGAAACACTATTTTGCTTAAATGGTTATGTTTTGATCTGCACTGTTTTGCTGTTATGCCCTCTTTTATCTCAATCTCCATTTTATTATTTACTTTTTATTTTTATCCTTTTAATTAAGGGAAAAATAAATAAAAATAGCAGGATATATTATAGTAACCCACTTTGACTTTCCATTATCTTGATTTAAAATCCTGTATTGCTCTCACCATCTTGTTTTAACTGATGTTCCTCTATTCTGTTTTGCTTGATAGTACCAGGTTCGAAGTTTAGACAACAGCTGTGAAGATAGTGGGACTCATTGTGACACCCATTCTGGTTGACTATTATCTACTTTTGAAGACCTATAATGTCTCCAATGTTTTGGTTTTGTTGGTTTCATTCTTTACTGTTTTGTTCAATTTTATTATAACTGATGATATAGGCAATTCTATTAGAGATAGCGGGAGGCATTATGGTAACCATTGTTGATCACCTTGTATTGTGTTTTTACATTATCTATTATTTCCACCCTTTTGATTTGACTGACTCTGTTCTGCTATGTCACATTTGGTTTTACTCTCTTCCAGAAAAGTAATAAGAACTGTAAGAGCAACAAAACCCAAAATGTGTAATCGTCATTGTACAAAAGAGAGGAAAAGAAAGTGCTCTAAACGATATAACTGCATGTATATTTAAGTGTATAAGATAGATAATGATATTACTGAGTTTTGTTGGATCATTGAACAGAACTGTTTGCAGTCTGTTGGAATGTCCGCTGTATAAGCTTTAATTTTGTAACTCGAACAAGTATTTCTAAGATGACAATATGTAATCCATTAACTAGTGATTTCCTACTGTTTATTTTTTTCTGTAAATCTGTATAACTTGTACCCTTTCTCTGTTTTTTTCTTTTTCTCCTTAAATAAAAATTTTTTTAAAAGATGCTATCCTTTTTCCAGTAAACATGTTTAAACCCTTTGTCAATTGTAAGGTGGCTGAGTGTCTTTGTAGTTATGTTTGAATCTTCTAATCTGATCCATTAATCCTCAGGTCTATTTCTTTGCCGTGCTGATTTTATCACTGTAGCTTTGTAGTATAATTTAAAGTCAGGAATTGAGATGCCTCCTGCCTTGCCTTTGTTGTCCAGAATTCCCTTTGCTATTCTAGGTTTCTTCTGTTTCCAAATGAATTTTAGAAATGTTTTCTCTAGATCTGTAAGGTATGTCAATGATATTTTGATTGGGATTGCATTAAATCTGTATAAAAGTTTGGGGCATATGGCCATTTTTACAATGTTGGTTCTTCTTAACAAAGAGTGAGGGATATCTTTCCATTTTCTAATATTCTTTTCAATCTCCTTTTTTAGAGAACTACAATTTTCAGTGTATAGGTCTTTTACATTCTTAGTTGATTCCTAAATATTTCATTTTTGGATGCTATTATGAAAGGTGTTATCTGCATAATTTCTCTCTCAGTGGGTTTGTTATTTGTGTACAGGAATGCTATTGATTTTTGAGTGTTGCATTTGTATCCACCTACACTGCTGAATTTGTTTATTAACTCTAGTAATGTTTTGACAGAGTTTTGGGGTCTTCTATGTAGAGTATCATGTCATATGCAAATAGAGATAATTTAACTTTTTTCTTTCTTATCCTTATTCTTTTTATTTCACCCTCTTGTCTGATTGTTCTGTATAATATTTCCAGTACTATATTGAAGAGGAGTGGTGATAGTCGACATCCTTATCTTGTTCCTAATTTTAGGGTGAAAGCTTTCAGTTTTTGTCCATTTAATATAATGTTGGCTGTTGGTTTGTCATAGATGGCCTTTATCAGATTGAGGTAGATACCATGTATTCTGGGTAGGGTTTTTATCGTGAACAAGTGTTGGACTTTATCAAAAACTTTTTCTGTGTCTATCAGTATGATCATATGATTTTTTTTCTTTGGCTTTGTTGATATTGTGTATTACATTTCTTTATTTACATACATTAAATCATCCCTGCATTTCTGGAAGAATCCTTGGTCACGATGTATAATCTTCTTGATGATTTGCTGCATTCTATTTGCCAATATTTTATTGAGAATCTTTACATCAGTGTTCATTAGTGATATTTTCTTATAGTTCTCCTTTTTGATATGGTCATTTTTATCTCTATTTAACATGTCCTTCAGTACTCTTTCTAAGATTGGTTTGACATATTTATCAATAAATGGGTGCAGCTTGAGACCATACTCATAAGTGAAATAAATCAATCTCGCATGTGTGAATACCGAATAGTTTCCCTAATGTAAGTAATGATTCAAATATATAAAAATATGTGGTAATCATGATTCCCCATTATGTGGCCTTGAAGCCGTATAAAGTTTTAATCCCAAGCTTGTCTTAACTTGAGGGTTTATGCTGAAAAGTCTGCAATGATTCTAATGGGCTTTCCTTGATAGGTGAGTTGTGTCTTTTCTCTAACAACTTTTAGTATTCTGTTTTTATGCTGTATGTCTGAGATCTTAATTATTATATCTCAGTATAGATTTAGTTTGGTTATGACTAGCATTCTAAATGCCTCACTTAGATCAGATACTTTCCCCATGTTTGGAAATTTTCTACTATTACTTTTGTGAATAGTTCACGATGCCATTTGCATTGACTCCTGCATCTTTATTAATGCCTATCAGCTTATATTGTTTCTCTTTGCACCATCTTGATGCTGTTGAATTGTTATTTCATGCTACCTTGCTATTTTTAAAAGTTCTATCACTTCACCATTGCTAGTTAATATCCTGTCTTCAAGGTACAAAATTCTATCCTCAGCTTCATTTAAATGGTTTTGAAAACTTTCAGTAGAATTTTTATTTCCTGGGTATCTCTTTGAATTTGTATCATGCATTCTACTTCTTTTCTGTATTTTTCATCCAAGGTTTCCATCATTTTCTCATGCTCCTATACTTTTTTTAAATCTATGTCTTCTCTAGCTATGCTGAACAACTCCTTTTTTAAGGTTGTCATTTCTGTCTTTACATGAGCGATTATTTCTAACCTGATTTCCTCTATAGCTTCATGTATTTGTTTCTTTATTTCACTTGCTATCTTTTCAGAAATTTCAGGTGTATGACTTTTAATGTCTTCTGTTTCAAGTCTCCTGTAGTGTTTCCTGTTAGATTAGATGTTTGAGATTGCATTTTGCTTTTTCATTTTGTCATTTTCACCTTCTGGGCGAACATTTGTCCTTCAATCCCACTAGTCTCAACTGTTGATAGTGTGTATCTTAGAGTCCTACTGTGTGCTTGATGTTTGTCCAATTTCTGGGTACCACATTGAAGAGGAGTCACCTGAATTTCTCCTAAAGTACCTGTTGGGTGAGTCCTATATTCTTCCTAAACTGACTGGTCTAGGAATATTGATTTAAGTCAACCCTTAGTTCCTGCTATTACTATGTCTTCAGGTTGTTCCAGGCCACCAGATCTACCTGGCTATAGTGTTTGCCTCAGCTGGAACCCTACTGTGTCACTGGGTGTCTTATAAACTCTTTTGATTTCTTCCAGGTTGGGGGAAGCCTTATTGTCACTCTCCTCAACCACCTGATGTTCTCTATATGGAATAAGGACTCACCCACACTCTTGCCAGGTTCACCGGGTCCCACAGCTGGAGAAGACTTTGCTACTGCTCCTGTTTGCCCACTGAAATCCTCTATTTTAGGGGCAAACTTACCACCTGCTGAAGTTCTCTGTTTGGATGAGGGGTTACTGAGTCTCCCATCAGCCCAGCAAGGTTAATCCATTGCAGTCCAAGGTTCTGGGAGGAGGAGAGGCAGCCAAAGAGCCACAGCAGTACTAGGTCCAGAAGGTAGAGGAGGAGGGGCAGCCAAAGACCTGCAGCCCTCTGAGGTCCAAGGGGTGATGGGGTGGGACAGCTGAAGTTCTGTGCACCCTTCAAGGTCTAGGGAGTGAGGTGGGCCTAAGTTCTGCATGCCCTCTGAGGTCTAGGGGGCAAGGCAGGGCATCTTATATAACTGTTGATCCCTTCAAAAAGAGTAAACTCCATTAAAAAAGAGTACTAATTATTCTGTTGCTCTTGATATTGCCAACATCTAAAGTTATGCCAGGCATACAGTAGTTGCTTCTGAAATGTTTACTGAACAAAGAATTAGTGCTAAGCATTTTATATTATTTTTAAATTTTTCTTTAATACATTTTAAATACATGTGGGAAATACATGATGGGAAATAGGTACATAAACAAACTGAACTGTGACACTTTATACTTCCCCTGCCACTCCCCCTGTCTTTTCACCTCCCCACTAGCACATGTACAAAAAACAAAGCTTCTTGTGAGCCACAAAGCTTCTTGTGAACCAGGAAGAGAACCAGTCAGCATCTCCCCCAAGATCGAGCCATGGTGGAATTTAGGTGGCTGAGCAAGAAAGCAATTCACCTCCATTTCTGGTAAGCAGCCCTGGCATGAGCCAGGAAGAGAACCAGTCAGCACCTCCCATGAGCGTATCCGCACAGAGGCTGAGAATCAAACATCCCATCCCTTTCCTCAGGGCCCCATTAGCAACTGGGAGCAGAGGTCTGAGCATCTCTTGTGAGAATGACTATATGCAATATAGCAAATGCAGTGGATTTCTTTCTATCTTTTGTTTTAAGGCAAATGTTTTCACTGTTTTGCTTTGTTCTTATTGTTTTGCTCTATTCAATACTGTTTCATAATGTTCTCTTTTTGGTTTCATTTTGCTATATCTGATTGAATGGACAACTATTGTGAGGATAACGAGATATACTATGGTACCTATTACTGTTATCCCAGTATCCTGCTGTGAAATTTTGTACCAATTTCACTACATTGTCTCAGTTGGCTTTGTTCCGTCTTATTCTGTTGTATTTTACTACCCTCAAAATAAAATTTGAGAAACAAAGTTTCTTCCTGTGTCAGTTGCCCACACTTCCTCTCTTGAGTGCTATAAAGGAAAGTGAGAAACTGAATTGGCTAGAAGAACACCACGCTTGCTTATAGATCAGACCCCACAAGAAGATGGCTCGGTGCCAACCTTGGATCTTGTTCCTGTGCCTGCAAACTTGTGAGTTCTGACCCCTGCTAAGCCCCTCATTTCTCATAAAATTTTAGAAATGAACCTTAAGGAAAACCTTGAAACATTCCTTTGATCTGTTTTCCACAGAACACTATGGGTCTCAGTACTATCCTACTCATAACTGTTGGGAGTGGGACTTAGGAGCCAAACCTAAGAATTTCTAAACTGTGAGGTTAATACTTCTGAATTCTGTCTGTGTTGTCTCCAAAGATTTGAGGAAAATCCCTCTTCTCAGAAGAGCCAGCACTTGGTAGGCTCATCCACAAAGCCTGACAAAAAAGGGAGATTATTCACAACCTTCAATAAACTAAAAGCAATTTTTCCTGATGCTAGAATATATTATATGATTTTTGATACAGACATTTCTAATAATATTTCACTGCTTTCTCAGGTTGGAATAATGCATAACTCCTTATGACTGCCATGAAAACTTTCACTCTATAAGCTGTTTTTATTTTCAAAGCACATTCAGGATTATTGCTCTGTCTGCTACTCCTCCAAAATTAAAATAAATGGGGGACAGATAGCTGTCTCTTTTTCACAAGTAAGTCTCAGAAAAAAGAAGTGGATAACTCAAATTAGAAACCCTGTTTTTCTTACCAAATGCTGAGTACTGAATTACAAAGAAAATTAATATTGGGTGTTATTAGTACAATGAAAACTAGGTAACACATGAGACTTAGAGTACTTTTTCATTCCACACATTATTGTTGTAAGCTCAAAGTTTTCTTGTTTACATAAAATATGCTCTTTGGAATTTCAAAATCTAGTTTGTTATCTCCAAACTTGCTCTGAATATGTACAAACTTCTAGCATTACTGTACTTGGAACCTGGGTAACCTAGTGAATTGGCACTTTCTGAAAAGGTAGAATATTTGGTTGCTTATGATCATGTTAGGCTGTGTCCTCTTTAATTTGAACTTCGAGGAAACTGCATTAGTAGGCAGGCCAAGTTTTTGCAGTCACTGCTGCTCACCCTAGCATGGGAAACAGAAAGCAAAGAGTGGAGAAAAGAGTTAGCTCTAGGCACACTCCTAATCTTCCAGAGAAGGCATAGACAATGGGTCATTTAATGCCACTTAATTTATAAAGCATTCTATAATTTACATGCCTACTTATGTTATCTATGTTATCCATACTAAAATCATTAAAATTGATGAAATGATTACTGTTAATTCCATTATGTCAGAGAAGAGGAGGAGGAGACTGATTGGGGGGTACAGTGACTCACCTGAAGCTCCACTACTGAAAATTCACAGAACTGCAAATGGACATTAATTCTTCTAATTCCAATATTACGGCTCTTCATGATTCATCTGACCTTTCTCAATAACTGGGTTTTTAAAATGTCACTTTTCATTTTCACTGTGCCCCAGCAGGATCCCAAAATGGGGCCCGAGTGGTGTTTTAGCACTGAGAGACATCTTCCTTAATGCAGTTTTGTTTTTAAGTTATATGATGTGTTATCAAAAGGCTACCTCATATCTAGAAGAAGCTTTATGCTCATTTTCGACCAAGAATTCCCCAATATCAAATATTTATTTCTTGTCTCTCCTGTAACAACTAAAACAATAGCAATGCAGCACAATATTTGACCGTACTAACTGTCTTCAACTTCTTTTTGGACTTCAAAGGGCCAAATCTGCTAACATAATAGGTTACTGAGTTTCCCATCAGCCTGGCAAGGTTAATCCACCGCAGTCCAAGGTTCTGGGAGGTGGAGGGGCAGCCAAAAACCTAACCTCCTTGTTTCTTTCACTTTAAAATGGAGAACTATTAACACCTGAGGATTATTTTGAGAATCAAAGTGATAATTTGCATAACACAGTTAGCATACTACCTGAATATCCAAGTGATCAAATATTAGCTATGTCTATTACTGCTTTTTACCCTTGTTTTTCATGCATTATTAAGCAGGGCCTAGGCTTTACTGTACAGAACTTCCTGGCAGGAATCCTTTGTTTGGGATGGTCTAAGGTGCATGACTCGGCAGGAAGGTAGTAGGATTTGAGCTGAAGAGTGGGTTTTTAGGGTTCTGAGTAGACATTCAGAAGTAAAATATTCATTTTGTCAGGGATTCCTGAAATAGAGAACACAGATTTACTTTTACAGAAGAAAAGTGCTTCCACATACCATTTGCCTTTATACAATGGACATATTTGCCTCTTGAAGATTATTCTCCAAACATTTCTTGAATACAAAAACACACCCTAAATTTCTCCTGCTGCTGTTTTTGAGAGACATGGTGCCTTATATTCGCTATTGGCTTAGGAGTCAACACTGATCTTATGCACGTCCCTACAATTCAGAGTTGAAAGAGCTGAGAGACTGTGCAAAGATGAAGGCAGAAATCCCCATTTGCCTCCCCAAATCACTGACACAGGGAAGTCTGAGTCTGTGAATGCATGACTGCTCCATGTTGGAAAAATTTTCTCAAAGAATTAAAACTTACCATCACATGCTTCTTGACTTTCTTATCATGACTTTGGACACTGTGACTCTGACTGTATTCTTCCAGCCACTCCCACTTGGGGAGTGGAAGATGGTAAAGCTCACTACTTTTGCTCCTTACTCGTTCCCTCTACCTGTTCTCTCATGCTCTTTTAATTCTCTCTCCAGTCATTTCTAGCATCTATTTAGCACCTTCTTTCTCTTCTTTCTCCTATCTCTCATCAATAGCAGTGATAACCAACTATGTGTGAAGCAGTCACTACAGGTCAGATAAGTCTCTGAATAGTCTACAGTTATTTTGTTTAATCCTCATAATACCCCATGAGATGGATAATACTAATATACCCATTTACAGATGCAAACATTAATACACAGAAAACAAAAAGTCGTTTAGCCAAGAAGTAGCAGAAGTAGGATTTAAAATCCATTGTTCTTAGATTTAACCATCAAGTCATGCTTGCCTCCACTCACCTTGATGCTGAAGTAGAGTAACATATTAGCTCCACTACGAATGGTTAACATATTTAAAGAGATGTTGGGGGAAAGAGATGGTTTATCTATGCCTAGCAAGATAGGATTAGTCAGGTAGAAGCTGCGTTTCTACTCCCCCAGTAGAGGGCTATGGAGCTGGTGGGTAAATCCTTGCCAATAATAGAAGAATAGGCAGGCCAGTGGCCAGTATTGCAGGATTCCAAGGATCGCTGACTTCCATATGATTTCAGTTGACTTGAATTAACTGCTGTAAAACAAACAAAAGTCCAATGTCAACATAGTCTTAAATGTCCTGTTGGGTACAGAGCCTCCTTCAAGGTGACTACAAGACCTCAGTTCTAGGAAGAGACTTGAGCAGATCATCACCACTGATACTCGGAAGGAGCAGCAAAGCAGAAGCCAAGCTACATAAATGGAGATATATTATATATGGGGAAACTCAGATATCAAGCGTTAGCTGAAAACCCCAGTTTTTAAGCAGAAGCTGCCATCTGTATTTTGGTGATAGCACCAGGCCCTGGTAGAAGAGAATAGAGCCCTAGAGATCCAACTGGTCACCAATAAGGCAAAAGGAGAGACTTCTAACAGGAGTCCCAAGGGTAATGCCCCATCACAAAGGCCACTCAAGAACTCCTGAATGAAACTAACTTGGAGGTTGGAGAGAGATGAATCCGAAAGCTTGGATCCAATGAGACTCATCAATGTGTAATTAGGGGGAAATGAACATTTGGCTGGAAGCCTGACAGTGGAACTAAAAATCAACATTTTCTTTTTTTCTCAGTGTTCAAGTGTACGGAGAAATAATGGCTGATCATATCCCATCTCTGTCTCAATATTTTGTGTGTGTTTCTGTTTGCTTTGAAGAAACTGATTCAAATAAACCTAAGTCTCAGTGAAGATGACACAGAGTCTGTCTGAGCACTGAATGTGGCACAGTGGTAGAGATCCTGTTTAACATGTGTCAGCCCTAGGTTCAATCCCCAGCACTGCCAAAACAAATTATAACAACCATTATACAGGACTCAGGATAATGTAAAGTAAAAATTTCAGAGAAAGCAGAATTCTTTTTTAGGGGATGGTTAGACTCTTGTCATCCAGGACTTCCCATCACAATAGAGAATGACGCAATAGTTCTGCTGCCAGACCTTCATTCCTCTTTCCCCTCCACATCTCCTAACAGGAGTTAACCACTTGTAATCACCTCTTTGCCCTCAACCAGTTACAGCCACATTTTTGCAGGGATATCATGTGGTCAAACTACCTCTGATCATCTTTCTGGGCCCACAGTGTATACCAAGCATCACATATGCACACACGTGTACACACACATGTACACACACACACTCTTGGCTCTGGAGGCAGTGGATGGAAAAAAAGGAGGAAGGAGTTTAGCTACTACTGTCAAAAAAAAAAAAAAAAAAAGAAGAAGAAGAACAAGAAATGCTTACTAGGAAAATCCTGAAAAAGAATGGGAGTGGTGCTGTCTGCCAAGCAACAGTATACCCTTCTCCAGTTCCCTTCTTATGAGTAGACTTCCTCAAGCATCTTCCTAATGGCCTGACCTTTTCTCCCCTTCAGACTGTCTCTTAACCTCTGCACTAATGCATATTTGTTTTACATACAAATAAACACAGTGCTCAGGATGTGGCAGGCACTCTTCTGCAGTTTGCAAATACTAATGCACTTAACCCTCACAACACTTCTATGAGTTTGATGTTACTATGATCTTCATTTTAAAACCGAGGAAATTGAGGCATGGAGAGATGTCTGATACCCAACACAGCCAGAATTTGTGCCAAGCTGTTGGATGCTTAATTACTAAGCCATGGGCCTCAACTCCAGGCAGGCAGAGGCACTCCTCAGGAAAGGCTCCCCTTGGCGCCTGCACATTCTTCTTCACCAGTATACACACGTGAGAGCATTTGAATTTGGCTGCGTCCTGAGAATTTCTCAAAGCAGCAGGGCAGCTCTGCTTTATCTCATTTACCAACCAGGAGCCTGAGACAGCAAGTTAGTGACAGTCATGGGCATTTAGCTAACTGATA